GGCGGCGGTGGCGGCGGCGGTGGCGGTGGCGGTGGTGGTGGTGGTGGCGGTGGCGGTGGTGGTGGTGGTGGTGGTGAGGGCGGTAGCGGTGGCGGCGGCGGCGGCGGCGGCGGCGGCGGCGGTGGCGGTGGCGGTGGTGGTGGTGCTAGAGGCAGGTGGCGGTGGCGGTGGCGGTGGCGGTGGCGGTGGCGGTGGTGGTGGCGGCGGCAGCGTGGTGCTAGAAGTAGTTAGTAGTAGTGGTGTTGGTGGTGATAGAAGTGCCAGGCTAGAAAACAGTGTGATGGTTGTGGAATCGTCATAGTTTAAGGTGGAGTGGCAGTTACTCTGTAACAAGTATCATGGCAGTGATATTTATTTTTTGTTAAGATACAAAAAAATAACTAATTAGCCATTCGTCGTTTGACAGGTCAGGAAGACTTTCTTCACGCTGGCCTTTTGCGATTGCTGTCGCAAACTGCTTTTCCACGGTTTCCGATGTCAGACGTGTGGTATTCGGTTTCATCCGCGCTGCGGTGCGGCTGTGCCCTCCCTCTGTGAACAAGTGAACGTTGAGAATTACTACAGACAGTAAGTCTCTTACAGCTTAAAGTAGATGCATTAGTCAGATACCATGTGGTGCCCTCTGTAGTGTGTTTTTTGTTATGTAATACCGCTGAATTGTCCTTTACTGGAATATAATCACAAGCATTATGTGCGTGCGTGCGTGCGTGCGTGCGTGCGTGCGTGCGTGCGTGCGTGCGTGCGTGCGTGCGTGCGCTTGCATGTGAACTTGTGAACGTGCATGTACGCCTAATTGCTTTAAATCGATTTATGTGCGAGAAAAAAATTATATTTCGTAATTTCTCTCACACCTCGTCCACAGCTTGTTAGCTCACAACGACAAAGCACTCGGCATGGGGGCGCTAGCGTCGCCCTCTAACGTCGCGCGGTCGCCGTCGCCGTCACCCGTGCGTCGCAGCGCGCCGCAACCCGTGCCACGGTCCTCACAGACGGCGCCACTGGCTCACCGTGAGCGGAGCACGTCGGCACCGAACGTGTGTATCAACCTCGTACAGCCGCAGGTGTCACTGGTACGTATAGCTCAACGAATGAATCTATATCTACGCGATGTACGCACCCTGTAAAACCCCTGGAAGGCCTCTGCGATTTTATCGTGCCAGTTTTGCGGGTCTGGGAAGTCCTTGAAAGTAGGCTGTGGATCTGGAAATTTTTGAGAAATTGGCTATTGCTGTTGTTTGGCAATAGAAAGACCTGGAAATCTCTGGGAGATTGGCTATTACTGTATTTGGCTGTGGAAGGTCCTGGAAATCTCTGGGAGATTGGCTATTACTGTATTTGGCTGTGGAAGGACCTGGAAATCTCTGGGAGATTGGCTATTACTGTGTTTGGCTGTGGAAGGTCCATGTACATGTCTTATCTTGTTTGAAAGGCGATAAAATTTGCTTCGTGCAAGAGTCTGTTCATTAGTCGCTAGTTGTGTAATACAAAGCATTAAAGGAACAGTAGCCTCTAGGTTCTAGGGTTATTTTCAGCTAATTTAGGTTATAATTACGCTACATAAAAAGTTTCATGGTTCAATCACCATTAGAAATATTATTAAAAAATGTTTTAAAACTAACGACTACAGTTTGATTACAACGACGGTGGCGCCACTCAAAGCGCACGATCTGATAAGTTGCGCAAAACCACTTTCCAGTTAAGGGCTACAGACCGAGGGTGTTTCTTATTTATTCATTTAAAAGCAAAAGGATTGTAATATCTTATA